AAGGAGATGCATTTTTATGTTACCTTGTTTAATTTAGGAGGGGCGGGAAGAAAAAAATTTTTTTATTTTGACAACTTTGCTCTTATCTCATTTAAAGTTGTTTCTTTGAAACTTTAAATTTTTTTTTTGAATTTCTTTGGGTATATGAATTAATATTCAGAAATAAATATATGACAAAATTTAAATTCAAAAATTCCAGATGCAAACATCCATGTTATATCATTAATTTGAATTACTATTTTATTAACTAAATTATTCGCTAATTGCTTTTTTTTTTCCTGCTGCTAATTGCTATTATAAACACATAAGTATGCTCTAATATTAAGAAGACTAAATTATTTCAATATATAATTTCGGTTCAATTAAATCTTTTAGGGAGAATATCATATAAAGAAGTTTGAAATTACTAAATCCCAAATTATATTTGGTAATAATATTTTAATATATTTTTGACAATACTAAATTTATAAATAACAAGAAGTTTTTTTTAGAATTCTTTATTTAAGATGTAAGTAATTTTAAACTTCTTTTTCTGAATTTTTTTTCATTTACTAGTCCTCTGATTTTTAATATACGACTTAATTAGGGAGTTAATGTTAGTCATATATGTAATATTTAGTTCATATGTTAATGAATTTTCGCTCAAATTAATCCTATTAATATTCCCTCAAAAAGTAAAGGAGAAAATTAAAAAGATGTTTAGGGTATTTATAAAAGCCATATCATATTAACTAATTTAATTAATATTATTAGTTTATTTAAATTAGTTAATTAAGCTTTATATTAATAATAGAGACGTATTTAAAAGTAGGAAGATTGAAAAAGCCAAGTCACCAATTATGCCAAACAAACAAAGAATATTAATGTAAATTAACGCCGCAAATTGATGGCTTTTTTTCCTTTCTGCGAGCCAGGCTGGCACGAACCTTCTAAAGTCTAAACTCATCATACATCGTATCTGTAACTTTTGACCAGCTATGTATGATTCTTCGTTGGCCAAAAAATTTAGGAAATCACTTTGAAAATGATTAAAATCACCAAAATAATCTTGATAATAAATGAACAATGTGAAATTTAATGTTATTTTTTTTTAATCAGAAGTTGTCATTTACTATTAAGGGATTTTTTTTTAATAATAACACTTCTTTTTTAAACACCATGCCGGTATAATGGTTTTTTCAAAACGTTTTTGCATGATTCGGTTAACCTTTTTTGGCATAATTTTTGATTTGATTGAAATTTAACAAATTTATATTAATTGTATATAATTGTTTTAAAAACTCATTACACGACTTATAAATAAATTTGCTGTAAATATTATTTAAACACTGTATAAGCAAGGTTATCTATGATTTGCGGGGTTCAAAATTATATCCTTTGTCAATATAAAAAATAAAATATACAAGAAATTACACTATAAAATATCATAAAAGTGCTATGTTTAATATCATTACTCATCAAGTCATCATTCAACTTATACAATACTACATCTTGTCTTTAATATAAGGCATCGTTTGACTTTTATTTTGATCTTAATATAAGACCCCAATTCACTTTGTCTCTAATATTTATTCATTTTTTTCAAGATAGTCTTTTTAACAATGATAGTTCTGGCTAATATACTTGATTAGCGAGGATATTTTTAAAAAAATAACAACTATTTATTACAAATAACCGACTTAACTTATTTTCTTAATTTCCTCAAATTAATCAACTAGCTCTTATAATTAGGACTGAAGGTAGTATATAAGAAAACCAACTTAATGATAAAAAATTTATTGAGTCTAGCACAAAAACTAGTGATTCGTGACAAACTAATATTTAAATTTTAAATATTGCAATACTCGATACGTTTGGAAATGGGTTGTGTATGATATTATACGATTTAAATATATTTAATTAATAATATTTAAATAATATCTTGATTTATACTTGAGTATATCAGATTAAATGGGGAGTACCATAATTAAATAATAAAATGGAGAAATGAACAATTAAGTGAATCTTGAGCTATTTAAGATAATATAATCTATTAGAATTTCAAATTTAATCAGATATACTACTCCATGTATTGGGAGAGAAATTTCTAATTCTCCTTATAAAATCTACTTATATTTAGTGATTGTCCATGGTTTAGATAGAATTGCTTTTAATAAGAAATTACGTCTAACCCTCCAGAAAAATAATTTATAATGACTTATATTGCTTAAAAAAATCAATAAAGAATGCGATACATTATTTAAATTTTATTTAACTTACGGGTTTATTGAATTTTGCATTAGATTTCAATAATTTTGAAAACTAATAAACAGTAATCATCGTGTGTTTTCTCGTGATATAACAAATTAAAATATGAAAACAACCACGTCAATAAATATAAAAATAAATAAAAATATTATTTATTTATCCTGATTTTATCAATATATCAAAATTATTTTATACTCTTTCGGTTCTTAATATAAGACCTAATTATTGAGTTGGTTTTAGTCTTAAATATAAGATTCATTTATCATATTTATCAATTTTCTCTAAATTACTTCTATGGATATTTCCTCAATCATAATTAAGTAGAAGAGAAAGAAGGGGTATTAATAAAGATGATTATGGTATTTTAAGAAAAACGTGTCACATTTCTTATAATTAACTAACTTACCTAACTTCTTTAATCTAATCAAATTAGTTAAATAGGTCTTATATTAAGGATTGGAAGAATATTACACGGTGATGATTTACCAATGTTGATCCAAACAAGGAATTTTCAAACAATGTGAATCATATCATCAATAATTCATTGCATGGGCTCCTTGGCCCCCACATGTGGGAGAAAATCATTCTAAACTTTAAATTATTTTATTTAAATTACAGGCATAAACAGATTATGAATCTGACTTTTGTTTTTCTTTTTAAATTATATTTATTATATATAGACAGCCCAGCTAGATTGAGATGGGAGCATATTATATATTTAAAAAACATAGAAAGAAAAACATTCAGATTGAGATCTGAACAACTTTTCTGATGCACAGGTTGTTACCCTCTCAGGAGGTGTCATATTTAAGGATTTTATAATAAAAAATAATAGAAGGATTTTTTGTGTTAGGTATAGTTTTGTAATCTTTAATTTAAATATTTTTAGTTATAAAACTATAGTTCAAAAAAAATTTTGATTTAAAAAAAAGATATAAATAACCAATACTCATATTTATGAAAATATGAGTTTTTGTTATATAGGAGAGTTTGAATTGATAACTATTATATATTTTTTAGTTATTTTTTGTCATTTTAATTAGTTCCAACATAATTAGTATATTATGTTCTTTACCCAGATTTTTGGCTATTAAAAATGAATATTATTATTGTTGTTGCTGGTGCTTTGCTTTTCTTTGGTGCAACTTATTATTATTGCCTTGTTAGTTAATATGGGTATCATGAGGTGGTTGAAAGTTGAAACTACCAGGGGTACAGTAATTAATTTAATTTTATGTAAATATCTTTCACAATTAATTTGCTGGTGTTATTAGGAAAAGAGAGTTCTAGCCATATTTGCAAAATTAAAGGATTAAAAACGTTATAAAATAGCAAAACTAAAATAAAACCTAAAATATAATTAAATGATTAAAATAACTTTTATGCTCCTATCACGCAAGTATATAATTGTCATACTTTAAATGAAAATAAAATTAGACTTTAAATTTATTTTTAATTTCAAGTTTACTCAAAACTACATATAATGTTACACATGGATTCAGAAATTAAATCATATTATTTGATGAGAAAAAATCATAATATTTTCGGCCTGTGAATATTAATGACTATTATTATATTATGTATCAAAATTTTTTTTGCCATTAATTATGTATTAAAAATTAATATACGACGAAACTCCACAATGTAGCAAAAAAGAAAAGTAAAATACTTTTTGAGTATAATAATAAAATAATAATAATAACTTTGGAGGGTAAATACGTAATTTAATTGAGCAAGTACAGACAACACAGTCAACATTAGATCGAGCTTCACATGGCTCCGGCCTGTCTTCCTGCTTTGCAAGTGCGTATATGTTCTGCCTCCGTAGTTTTCTTGCGACACTGCCAAATGCTTGTGCCTTCCTTCCCTCACTCCAACGTCCATTTCCGCTCCAATAATTGAATTCTTTTTCTTACCTTCTGAGATATTTTCATCAACCCCACAAAGTTCGATTCCATGTTCTTCTATTTGTCCTTTATTCGCAGAATGGATTTTATTTTCCTGGAAATTAAGCCAATTTTCCATCGGAACCAGCACTTTTGAGTTTTTCAATGCTACCCAGATCCTAATTTCTGATGTTTTCTTAACCCATTATCTGAATTCTAGATGCATCCGATCAACTTTTGTTCCACCTCACAGAGTTCTACTTCATGTTCCTCTTTTTGTCCTGTATCTGCAGCTTGAATACTGGTTTCCCGGAAAATTAAGCTAATTTTCCATCGAAACAAGCTCCTTTTAGTTGTTTTAGTGATACCTAGATCCTAATTTCCAAATTTTTCTTCCTCCATTGCTTAATCCTTAGATATTTTCTCCATCATCTTCCGTCCCACCTCTCAAAGTTCTAGTCTAAGTTTTTTTTCTTGGTCCTGTATTTGCTGTATGAATATTTTCTGAGGGAAATTGAACCCAGTTTTCCATGAAAACCAGCTGCTTTCTGTTATTACAAGAATACCCAGATCCCAATTTTAGTTTTCATCAGCTTGTTGGCTTGGGTTCGCCTTCAACAAAATTCTAATATGTGTTCTTCTTGTTTTTTTTTTTTTTCCTTCCTCATATTTTCGGAATGGACATTACTGTGCGGGAAAACTAAGCCCATTTTCTATCCAAACGAACTCCTTGCTGTTATTCTAACAACACCCAGATCCTAATTCCCCATTTCTTCAATTTCCATTATCTGAAATTTTCAAGTCTCTGTGAGTTCATCACTCACTACTCAAATACAAAGGGAGCAAAAAATTTTTCATCTTGTGAAGATGACCCACATTGTTATATTTCTTCTTGGACTATCTTTCGCTGCATTATTTTCAATTCTTGTTTTTTATATCTTCTTTTACCGCAAAAGAAGAACAACCCATGAAATCAAAGACATTGAAAGCCCAGGATGCAAACATGAAGATACAGTGCAGAAAGAGGACTTGGTGATCTTCCAAGGAGGTGAGAACCTGACAATATGTGACATTCTTGAAGCTCCGGGGGAGGTAATTGGGAAATCCAATTATAGCACACTTTATAAGGCGTTGTTGCAGCGATGCAATGCAGTGAGGCTTCTGAGATTTTTGAGGCCAGTGAGCACTACAAGGGATGAAGAGTTGGTTGGTGTGATTGGAATGATTGGAGGGATAAGGCATCCCAATTTGGTTCCTCTTGTCGGATTTTACACGGGGCCAAGGGGTGAGAAGCTTCTTGTTCATCCCTTTTATGGTCATGGGAATCTCACTCAGTTTGTAAGAGGTAATTGATTCACTAATTGATTCTCTCGCATTTTGTTTGATTTACTCCTTTGGATCAGGGTGTTTGAATTCTCGGGAAATCCTTCTTTATCTTTCTTCTGCGAAAAGTTCCTACTTTTATCATCGTGGTCTAGATTTCTGAACATGGCATGGTTGCTTGGTCTTGAATGATTATAAAATCATTTGTTTAATTTGTGCAAGCTAATTTTGGTTAGGTTACAGAATGTTACCAGTATCTCATGTGCGTGCGTATCAATGTGTGTGTGTGTGTGTGTGAAGCTAGAGTACTTTTAGATTCCAGTACTCCAAAGCAAACATTGTTTACTATTTTCTTTTTTAAATGAGTTTAGTTTGGATTCATAGCTTTGCCTACAAGCTTTTAATCTAAACTTTAGAGATCTGAAAGTAAAGCCAGAATCTCAACACTATGAAAAGATGCAAAAAATCAGAGATAGTTGAATGATAGCTTCAATATCAGATATTTTTCTTATTTACTGAGTTAATAAGCCTTGAGATTATCTTAAGAAGCTTGAATTAATATTCTGGTGGGTTATACAATACATATAGAAAATTCCCTATTGTTGTAACGGTTGGCCCTAGTTGGTCCATTGGATCTATGATTCTATTTCTTGGTGCTTCCTAGAGGAACTGAAAACATGTTGCTATAAAGAGATGCCATCTCCATCGGTTTTCATATGCTGATCTAGAGAGTTAATGATGTTCTGTGTTCTTGGCCTATGATTTGTGTGGACTTATTACTGAGTTTTCTGATTGAATGGCACATAACTGGTCCTTTTGTTGGGCATTGCTAAGTTCTATTGTCAATATAATAGCGTTGGTTTTCTTCTTTTGTACATGTAATTCATCTGCTTTTATGTTTTGGTCTGATTCAGAAACCCTGGTGGATTTACTTTCATTGCAGTTGCATGAGATTCAAAAGTTGAAATCTCTATCAATCATGGCTAAGATTTAAACAGCTATATTAATGACTAATGTGCATTTGTATTTCCTTTTGTCTTTGCCCCTTTCTCTTCAATGCTTAACTGTATTATCACTTTTTCTTCTCTTTTTATATATTGTTTTGTTTATGGATTTGCTTACTATGATTTGTGTAATGCATCTCATTCGCTGATCAAGAATGTTTCATGAGCAGATGGAAATGGCGAGTGTTACCACTGGGCTACGATATATCGACTAACCTTTGGCATAGCCAAAGGACTCGAGTATCTTCACACTGGACTTGAGAAGCCTATGATCCATGGTAACCTCAAGTCAAAAAACATCCTTTTAGATCGCAATTACCAGCCCTACATCTCAGATTTCGGCCTGCATCTCCTCTTGAACCCCACTGCTGGCCAAGAAATGCTTGAAGCCTCGGCTGCTCAGGGTTACAAGGCACCTGAACTGATTAAAATGAAGGATGTTAGTGAAGAGACCGATATATTTAGCCTCGGCGTGATCATGCTCGAGATGCTTTCTAGGAAGGAGCCTATCAATGAGCATCCAACCCCTGATGAGGACTTCTATTTGCCAAATTTCATGCGAACTGCTGTGCTTGGACACAGAATATCTGACTTGTACCATCCAGACATTCTTCTCAGCAAAAGCAGAGACAGTGGAGGCCCGGTTAGTGAAGAATGCATCCTCAAGTATTTTCAACTTGCTATGTCTTGTTGTTCTCCTTCTCCTTCATTGAGACCAAACATAAAGCAAGTCCTTTGGAAGCTTGAAGAGATTATCAAGTAAGATCCATGTGTGACTTTGAAGAAATTTATTTGAATACTAGAAGGCATGGACCACTTGGAGGAAAATGATGGGTAGATTTTCTGAGAAAATTTCTTCCGTGCCCTTTCGTGCCTCTACATTTGAAAGCTAAAATTGCATGCTATGGCACACCCATGAATTTCTCGTTCTCTTGAAAAAGAAAGAGTGGAATAGGAAACCATATAAGGATTTCAGAATTGTTGATGTTGATGTTTAGGGTGAAAGTCAAAAGGAAGATTCTTGTTTGAAACTGAAGCTGCACAATTCAAGGCATTGAATTCGGATCCCAACATTACTGATGTGAATGGGATTATGAGATTTTGGGGTTCTTCTTTTATGATAAGATCAGAGAGAGTGTGACGATGACAGGAACATGAAGATTTTCCATGAGGCTGTCAATTTTATTACTATTTTTCATACTTTAACTGGGAAGTTTTGATGGGTTATAATAAAGTTTCTTTCATCTCTAAGGATGTGTTCCTCAAGCTTGTGAGAGGGCAAGCCACGTCAGATTTCTTTGTTAGACTTGAAGTGTAAAGGAATATGAATGGTTTGAACCCTCTCTCTTCTGTCCCCTTCACAAAGTCCCACATATTCCCACCTTAGGCTAGATGGTTATGTGATGAGAATTTGAGTATAAGTTTGTTACTTTTGATTTCTTTATTGTTGTTAGAAAACCTAAATATTGGGAAAAAAAAGATCTAGTGTTTCTTGGGTCAGATCTCACATCAGTTACACATCTTATGGTTTATAAAGTGATAGTTTTGCTTTATATTTCTAGGCACATGCATGCTTTAGATTAACTTTAATTGATTAATCAACAGTAAAGAAGTGCCTATATTTAGTATCAACAATACATCAAACAGTATCCCATTAGAAACATATTGGCTTAAATTACTGTTTGGTTTAGTTGAAGGTAGCTCTTAAGAAAATATTTTAGATAGATTTGGGTTTTACAAATATTAGCAGGCCTAATGTTCATTAGTATGTATGCTTTTAACAAAAACTGCCAATGTAAAACACGACTTTTCGAAAGAAATATATAAGTTTATTATTTTTTATATTATGTATAACTTATTTAATGAACTTATCATTTAATAAACATAAATTGTCAGTTATTATTCCTAACTCGGCATTCATAACCTGTGGTTGGAGGAAGGTGGGGGTTAGGAGGTAGGTATGGGTGAGACTTTTGCTTCTTATCTGGCTAATGGTGATAGAGATAAAGAGTGAAATGAATAATTAATAAATTGACGTATAGCATAATGATAGGGACGTGGAATGAATTTTAGTTAAATTTATTTATATAAATCTCATAATGAACATTATATATATACTTTATTTTAAATGAATTAATTGCATAGAAATTGAGAACACACACTGAATTGAAATGTTAGCCCATTGGATTTGGAGAGATTATTAGAGTAAGTTTATGATGAATTTTACTACTGAAAAAATTACTTATGTCATTAGTATATAAAATGGCTAATAATTTGTTGAGAAACAATACATATAATATATTTTTTATACTACAGAAAACATATAATATTTATTTTACTGATATTATTCAAGTCAATAATTATTACTCTTTCCGGTTGTAAATTATAAAAGTTAGTACTGATTTTTTCCTTCTAAACATTAGAATTTTTCTCTAAATTTATAATTATTTTTTAAAATCTTATTGATTGCATATATATATTGACATGATTTTTTATCAAAAAAATAGTTTTCCATACAAATAATTAAAAAAATAGTTTTAAAAAATAAAGATGTGTTTTTTTTAAGAATAACTAGGTTAATTATTTTTCTTAATATTTTCAAATCAATTATCAAACTCCTAATAATTTTCTTTCATTAGCTTTCAAATTAAGAAAACAAAAGACCTTTTAATTCATGAATTATTTATTATTTTCATATTATTCTGATTCTTGATATCAAGCAAAGAGTCGAATTGATATCATCTTTTGGAAATTTGAGGGTGATGTTGGGGGAGGGTCCCATCAAACCATAATTTCTCCACAAACGTTGGGGACATGTGAGACAAAAGGACACATACGGAAATCAAATTGAGTATCCCATGATGCCCTTTTTATTATGTTTCCTAATAGTAATTTTCCATTGCATGCATTTCAATTTCCTTACAAGAAAATTTCTCTCTGTAGCTCTTTATTTTATTTTAAGTGGTGATATTTAAGACTTCAAAATCAAAGGGGAAATCCCTTGTCCAAAAAAAAAAATCAAAGGGAAAAAATTAAGAGAGAATCCCAAAAAAATGTATTTAAATTTTAAAATTTCAAATTAGTCTTGTTTACTATATTTTAATAAAAATTGATAAGATTTAAAATGAAAATGATAAGACATTTTTATAATTATTCCTGATTTAGGATTTTAAAATTTTAGAAGTATTTTTTTAAAATTAATATCATATATAAATATAATAAAAATATTAACTATTAAAAAATAAAGTGGGTCATATCACATACCCGTTGGGAAAAAAGACAAAAAAAGAAGTCTGAAATTATAAAATCTCAATTCAGGAAGTTAAGAGTTGAAAATGGCAGAGAGAAAAGTAAACTCAAATTGAAATTTTAAAATTCAAGTGACGTGATAAAAATGTCCCTTTGTTTTTTTTTTTAATTTTAAAACATCAACCCCTTGTTGGAGGTCACAATCAATGAACCTCGCTGGCTACTGACACTGTGGCTATTGATAGGTTTTTTTCCTTCTGGCAAAAATATTTTTTAGGCCGTGGCAAATTATTTGGAAAAAGTGGTGGGGGGATTTGATCCCACCACCACATAGTCATTTGAACCAACTAAAAAAGTAAGTGACTATTGGGCCACGAATAATTTTTCAATATTATAATGCAAAAAAAAGAAGTAAAAGTTAACTTTTTTATTCTAACTCCAACTTGTGACAACAATTTATTTGGCAATGACAAGTTTTGAATGGAAAATAACAAGTTTAAATTTGAGATTAACAAAACGCTTTTTCTTGATACACACCATGAAGTAACATGTAAATTAAGAATGACAACAGTTTATCTAGGAATGACAAATCTTGATTAGAAAATAATACGTCTAACTTGAGATTAACAAGGCATTTTTTTCTAATATATAACATGAAATAATATGTAAATTAATTAAAATGATAATAATTTATCTGGTAATGACAAGTCTTAATTAGAGAATGACAAATTTAAATTTGAGATTAACAAAACATTTTTTCTTGGCACATAATATGAAATTACACGTGAATTAATAAAAAATGACAACAATTTATTTGAGAACGACAAGTTTTGATTGAGAAATGACAAGTCTAAACTTAAAATTATCAAGGTATTTTTTTTATACATAACAGGAAATAACATATGAATTAATTAAAATTGGTATTGTTAATCCCAAGTCTAAATTTTTCATTTCACAATCAAGACTTATCATTTTAGGATAAATTGTTGTTATTTTTAAGTAATTCACATATTATTTCATGTTATATATATAAGAAAAAAAGGTCTTATTAATCTCAAGTTTAAATTTGTCATTTCCTAATCAAGACTTATCATTTTTTAATAAATTGTTGTTATGAGCTGTAAGGGAGTTCACTTATATATATATATATATATATATATATATATATTGTATTATAATGTTAACAAGCTATTGGTAGCCCAATGGTCATCTATTTTTTTGGTGGTTGGCCCAAATGACCATGAGGTTGTGAGAGTAAATTCCATCCCACCACTTCCCTCAAATAATTTTCATGACAAAAAAAAAAAGTTGCTAAAGAACCTTGGTGGCAACCACCATGCCGGTGGCGGCCCTACTGTCGAGGATGACTTTTGGTGAGGGGTTGAATTTTTTTTAATAAAATAAAGTGGCATTTTTGTCATTGCCTTTGTATTTTAAAATTTCTATTTTGGATTTACTTTCCTCCCTGTCATTTTCAACGCCTAACTTCCTGAATTAGAAATTCACAATTTCATGATTCTTTTTTTGTCATTTTTCCTAAGAGATATGCTTAAGGTGCGGATTCCAAATTTAACCATTTGCTTAAATGATGAAATCCCCTATTATTTATGCCAATCTAAATTGGTAAATTTTTTTATTATTATTGTACTCCTCCGGTCCTTAATATAGGACCCAATTCTTAAGTTGGTTTTGGTCCTAAATATAAGACCCATTTCTCATATTTATCAATTTTCTCTAAATTACCCCTATAGATACTCTCTCAACCATAATTAAGTAGAAGAGGGAGAGAGGGTATTAAGAAAGATGATTATGGTGTTTTAGGAAAAATGTGTCACTTTTCTTATAATTAACCAACTTACCTAACTTCCTTAATCTAATCAAATTGTTAAATGGGTCTTATATTAAGGACCGGAGGAGTAGTATATTTAAAAATTTTTTAGTCGTATTCTAGTGTCTAAAGCATGTGTTGGTCCCAGGTATAATTCATCCTTCGTGGCTAAGAATTTCCAAAATCAATATCAGTTAAAAGAAACGGCTTTTAAGAAAATATGTATTAATAAATTGTTGGTTGAGATGGTAAGCAGTTTTATTTTATAAAAAGAAAAATACAAGTTTGAATTCTGAAAAGTGTGCTTGTTAAATGTAATTATGATTGGTTGTTTGGTATAATTCACTTTTTTTCACTTTCTTTTTCTTTGTGTTGATCTTCCTAGAGATCCAAAAAGGAAAGAAAAAGGACAAAGAAAATTATTGCTTCTTTTGATGATTTATTAATTATCTTTTACTTAATTAAAATAATATGAATATAGAGGCAATTTCAACTGTTTTTTTTTTAATTATCATATGTTTCATTTTTAATAACATTATATATGTCCCAACTCGCATCTTTGTTTTTTTAAAAAAATTCATTATCTTCTTGTTTTTGTTTTGTAAAAAGGGGAAAATTCAATTCATACTACTAAAAAAGTGTTCAAGCATATTTACAAGACAAATAAGTCGAGGAGAAGGTATGTGTGTATACATGTGTACATTATTCATGACTTCTATATAATATAACTTATTATAATGCTTATATTTGTTTTTATTTGTTCTTGAATCTTTAAAAGACCGTGAAAAATACTTTATAAAATTAAAGTACCAAAAAAATATTGTGTAAAATTAAAATACTAAAATATAGTTGTAGCAAAACTTATATATAAACTAAATGTAATTCAACAAAACAAAATTATTAAATGGGTTAATATGCAGGTTTGCTCAAGAAATTTTTTACTTAAGAGTGTTGGGCACCCGAGAAGTTTTTTTGGGATGCAAATATACTCAAAGTTTAAAATCATGACAATAGTGTCCCATACCATTAAAAAACTAATTTTAGCTGTTAAAATAATGACCTTGATCTTTAACAGTAGAAGACAATATTATTACGATTTTAAACTCTGAGACAAATTTACATCCAAAAAAATTGTCAAATACCCATGGCTCTTGAGTAGAAACTTTTAAGGGCAAATTCCCATTATTAAATTAGCAATCTCACAAATTGCTATTTTTTTCAACTAAAAACATCATTATTTCAGGCTGAGAGGGAGAAAAAAAATTCAACCATCTTGATTGCCTTGCTTAAATTGGACTTTTATACCATAGTTAAAAGTTTTACATACATACATACAGATATATATATATATATATATATATATATATATCGGCAACTTCGGGGTGGCTTCGTCTCTTCATGATGAATCTTCTCACTCGTTTTCGCTCTCTCATTAGCAATTTTGTCGAGCACTGTCCCCCCGACACAAGGGAAAAGAAAAGCAGAGCCACGTTAGCTGCACCCAAATAAGTCAAAAAGCATCCTCTTATAATGCACCTTTAACTCAAAAGATGTCGGCCGCTTTACCGTAACGCACAGTTATCTCCTAATATTGCGGTGTCAAATTATTTGGCTAAAGAGCTCTTAGTTTTCCCTTGCTTTGGCATTAGGCGCACTTCCCTGTTTGCCCCCATCGATCCCTTACTCTTCTTCTTCACTTTTTTTCCTTCTAATTTTACTCATATTTAAATAATATTTAAATAAAATTTTATTCGGACTTATTGTATTACATTCTTTTTTATAATTAGTCACTTCAAATCCGTGCAATATTGAACACAACGTTATTACTGTCCCATGAGATAATCTATAATAAAGCAATCATCTTTTCTGTTAAAATGTCTTATTAGGCTGAAGTAGTATATTTTAATATTCTGATTTTTAACATAAAAACTAGTTGACTAATTTGAATAGGTTAAAATTTTTTTTATGTTAATATTTAATAAATATGTATTGTCTTTTCTAAAAGACCTATGTTAATCAATTGTTATTTGATAAAATATTTAACATGTATAACAACTACAAGTATTATCTTAAAACAAATGTATAAATATGATAAATAAAATAGATTAAGATATTTTATCTAGATTCAAATTAAAAGCCAAATTAATTTTTATACCCCGGTAACATATTAGTTGTATAATAAATTTATACACGTATGTCCTGTGCAAAGTTAATTAATGCCAATACGTGGTCCTGTTGGGGAAACAGAAGTTAAAAAGTCGTGATAGCTGTAAGCCAGAGAGCTTTCACCTTCCATTCAAAAGATGTCGGCAAGTATATGTATCTTGAAAGTCAAAAAATTGCACCGTGTTAAATTGTTTGGCCAAAGAGCTTTTAACTTTCCCTTGTATTGGCATTAGACTCGCTTCTCTGTTGCTGTCATCGATCCCTGCCTCTTCTTGATCATTTTTTCCTTCCTACCATGTCTGGTGCAGATGTTGGCATTGCTTTTCTCTCTGCCTTCCTTCAGGTGGCTTTTGACCGGTTGGCTTCTGCAGAAACCCTTCGCTACTTCCCAAAGAGCGGATTGAATAAGACTCTGGTGAAGAAGTTGGAGAACATGCTGATATCCATCAGTAGTGTCATTGATGATGCTGAGTATAAGCAGTTCGGTGATCGAAATGTGAGGGCCTGGCTTTTTGAGCTCAAAGATGCTGTGTACGATGCTGAGGATGTCTTGGATGAGATTAACTATGAAGTCCACAAACGCAAGTTGGAAGCCGAAGCGGAAACTCAAACTAGTGTTACTAGCAAGGTACGAAAATTCTTCTCTGCTTCTGATACTATGTTTGACCAGGAAATCGAATCGAGGATGAAACAAATCCTTGAAAACCTTGCATTTCTCGAGAGCAGAAAGATTGGTCTGCATTTGAAACAATTTAACAAAGGTGGAGCTGATGGATTTGAGAGAAAGTGGCAGACTGAGACAACTTCTTTAGTGGATGAAGCTGGAATATATGGCAGGAATGAGGACAAAGAAATTATATTTCAAAGGTTGAAAAACGACAGCCACTTTTCTGTCATTTCTATAGTGGGTATGGGTGGGTTGGGGAAGACCACCCTTGCTCAGCTTGTTTATAATGATGAAAGGGTTAAGAGTGAATTTGACTATAGACTTTGGGTATGTGTTTCAGATGACTTTGATGTTTTGAGGTTGTCAAAAAGAATTTTCAAGAAAGCCACGGAATCTAATAATGACATAGAAGATTTAGATGCAGTTCAAAATAAGTTGAAGGATTTCTTCTCTAAAAAAAAGTTCCTCATTATTCTTGATGATGCTTGGTGTGATGATTGCATATCATGGGAAAAATTTTTAGCACCTTTCATATGTGGGGTTGCGGGAAGCAGAATTCTTGTCACTTCACGCGATGAGAATGTCGTGTTAGCAGCTGGCTCTAATGAAGAACATCACCTAAAGCTATTGTCACATGAAGATGGTTGGCTATTATTTAAAAAATATGCAATTCGCAACTGTTGTCCACCAACGAATTTTGATCATGAAGAAATTGGAAGAAAGATTGTTAAAAAGTGTAAAGGTTTGCCTTTGGCCTTGAAAACAATTGGGAGTCTCTTGTACAGAAAATCATCTTGGGAGGAATGGAACAACATTTTGGGAAGTGAGATATGGGAGATTTCTTATAATAATGTTCTTCCCGCTGTGATATTGAGCTATCATTATCTCCCTTCTCATCTAAAGCGATGCTTTGCTTATTGTTCATTATTCCCGAAGGATTATGAATTTCGCAAGGAGGAGCTGATTCTATTGTGGATGGCTCATAATTTCTTGCAAGCCTCTCAACCAAATAAGTCAATTGAAGAAGTAGGCAATGAATACTTCCAAGAGCTTGTGTCAAGATCTTTTTTTCAGGAGTCGTCTTCTATAAATGGAACATGTTTTGTCATGCATGACATTCTCAATGATCTGGCAATTCATGTATCTGGAGATCTTTGTTTCAAGCAAGAGGCTAAGGGGGTGGTGGATTTTTCAGAAAAAACCCGTCACTTATCTGTTTTGTATCACGGAAATGGAGAATACAAATGGTTTGAGAATTTGCAAGAAATGAAAAAATTACGAACATTCTTGCCTCTCAGAGATGGGTGGGGTTTCCTGTGGACCTCGAGCAACCTAATATTTGATGAATTATGCAAGTGCAAATGCTTGCGAGTTTTATCTCTGGCTTCCAATGACACAATTGAGGAGATACCTGATTCTATAGGAAATCTCATACATCTACGGTGTCTTGATCTATCTAACTGTAAAATTAAGAGGCTTCCCGAGTCAATATGTCTTCTGTATAACCTACAAACGTTGAAATTGGTCAACTGCAGACTTTTGGTTGAGTTGCCTGCTGATTTTCATAAATTAAAAAATTTGCGTCATCTAGATTTACGATTCACTAGCCTGAAAATGATCCCACCAAAAATGGGAGGGATGAAAAATCTCCAAGTTCGTCTGACATCATTTAAAGTGGGCAAATGTAATGAGCTCAACATCAAACAATTAGGCGAACTCAATCTTCAAGGAGAGCTTTCAATTTATGAGTTGCAGAATGTAGTTCATGGAACGGATGCCTTACAAGCCAACTTGAAAGAAAAAAGGTACCTTGAGGAGTTACGCTTCAAATGGAATGAAGACACCAGTGATGATTCTCAGAATGAGAGGGATGTGCTAGAGAAGCTCCGACCCCACCAAAATTTGAAGAAACTATCAGTCGAGAACTATGGTGGCACAAGGTTTCCAGATTGGTTTGCTGATAACACATGGTCCAACGTAGTGGAGCTCCAGTTAAACAGTTGCAAGTATTGTTTCGTGTTGCCATCGTTAGGCCTTTTGCCGTCTCTCAAGTCACTATTCATTGAAAAGTTGGACGGCATTGTGGCTATTGGTGCTGAATTTCTCGGAAGTGATTCTTCTACTGTTCCATTTAGATCTCTTGAAACCTTGGAGCTCGAGGGAATGGTGAATTGGGAGGAATGGGATTGTGCGACTGCTTCAAGGGCCTTCCCATGCCTTAAACAGCTTTGTATAAGAAAGTGTCCAAGGCTTAAAGAGAATTTGCCCGAACAACTTCTTTCTTTAACTAATCTTTTTATTCAAGATTGCCCACAACTTGTAGCTTTGGTTCCACGAGCCCCAACAATTCAATGGTTGACTCTTGAAAACTGTGGAAACATGCATTGGGAGTTCCCATTGAATCAACGTCATGACTCACTTCGTAAGATACGTATAGTTAACAGTTGTGGGTCGCTTGGGACCTTTGCATTGGATCAATTCCCTGAACTTCAGCATTTGTATTTGCGTGAGTGTAATAATCTTGAAAGGATTTCTATTTCAGATTGGTTTGCTGATAACACATGGTCCAACGTAGTGGAGCTCCGATTAGAAGGTTGCAAGTATTGTTTTGTGTTGCCATCGTTAGGCCTTTTGCCTTCTCTCAAGTCACTACTAATTGGAGAGTTGGATGGCATTGTGGCTATTGGTGCTGAATTTCTCGGAAGTGATTCTTCTACTGTCCCATTTAGATCTCTTGAAACCTTGAAGCTCGAGGGAATGGTGAATTGGGAGAAATGGGATTGTGCCACTGCTTCAAGGGCCTTCCCATGCCTTAAAGTGCTTCGTATAACAGATTGTCCAAAGCTGAAAGAGAATTTGCCCGAACAACTTCTTTCTTTAGATAATCTTGTAATTGAAGATTGCCCACAACTTGTAGCTTTGGTTCCACGAGCCCCAACAATTCAATGGTTGACTCTTGAAAACTGTGGAAACATGCATTGGGAGTTCCCATTGAATCAACGTCATGACTCACTTCGTGAGATAAGTATAGTTAAAAGTTGTGGGTCGCTTGGGATCTTCGCATTGGATCAATTCCCTGCACTTCAGTATTCGCATTTGTGTGAGTGTAATAATCTTGAAAGGATTTCTATTTCAGAGGGGCAAAACCATGGGAATCTTACAAGTTTAAGCATTAAAAAGTGTCCAAAATTCGTATCCTTTCCGAAAAAGGGGTGTTCTGCCCCTAGGCTGGAATATTGCTGCTTTGAAGATTTGGAGAATTTGAAATCACTACCTGAGCATATCAACATTTTTGCTCCGTCTCTTAGTGAACTAAGTATAACAGATTGTCCACAAATGGAATCGTTGCCAGAGGGGGGTCTGCTATCAAAACTGACGCATCTTCATATCAACAGATGCCCGAAACTGTTTGCATGTCGAATGCAATGGGGTTTGCACGATTATGATTTTCTACGTGAATTGAGCATCATAGGTGACGATGTGGTGGAGTCTCTACCTAAACCAGGACTACTCCCAACTTCTCTTACTTTTCTTCGCATCAGCAACTGTTCCAATCTCAGAATGTTGGACTACAAGGCTCTTTGTCAATCGCCCTCCCTCAAATATTTGAATATTATGAATTGTCCGAGACTCCAATGCATGCCTAAGGAGGGCCTCCCCAGTTCCCTTTCTTCCCTTCAAATTTTTGGAGCTTGTCCAACGCTTAAACAAAGATGCCAGAAACCAGACGGGGAAGATTGGGAAAAGATTGCTCACATCCCTTTTCTTTATATTGATTAGCCAACCCTCAGGTATCTTTTGCTGTGTATCTATTCCCATACGCATATTCCTTTCTGTTTAACGCAATCAATAGAAAAAGTATACGCTGGCGATCATACCTGGCTTATTTTATATTCGCTCTCTTCTTAACGTTGCTTCAAAGTTTCTGTTTGCTTGGTTACCTGAGAACTTTGCCTCATGTAATATACTTGCATTACGCGTGTTAGTTTTGATGGATCTTAATTATTTTCTGATGCCTGATAGGAAAAGACATGGGAAAGCTGAAATTTTTGAAGCAGAGATCGATTGAAAATATTTTTCTTTTGGGTTCTTTAAAGAAGTATTATGACTTTATATAGTCGGGTTCAATGAAAATTCTTTAAAAAAAAAAGGTTACATGTTTTCTTTTTCGAAAATATCAGTTAATGATAAATCTTAACACCTAGAAGGTGGAATTATATAGTAGACGATGGTATTAAAATCAATTCGCACAAAGTATTTACTCCTCTATAGACATACTGTAGTGATTTTTATATTATGATCTAAAACCACACATTTTATTACACATTTTTCTGATTCAAATGTGAACAAATATTAATTTTGCTGTGTATCTATTCCTATACACATATTCCTTTCTGTTTAATGCGATCAATAGAAAAAGTATGCATTGGTGATCATACCTGGATTATTTTATATTCGCTCTCTTCTTAGCATTGCTTCAAAGTTTCTCTTTGCTTGATTAGCCGAGAAGTACATTCCCATTATAAAACTAAGAACTCCTTTCACAATAACATCTATATATTTGAATTCTAAAAATTTATTCCGGTATTCTTTCTTGTTGGGGGCAATAACAAATTCTGGTATTCTTTCTTGTTAGGGGCAATAACAAATGAGATTATTGTCACTGGAGTTCCCAACCTAAAGCATTGTCAATGGAATCACTGAAGATGCTTTTTTGTTCTGTGGCTTGCCGTGAAGATCTCTTCAGGGGGTAAGCACACATACTGCAAGGAGATTTGAAATGAATTATTTACAAAAGTAAATCTCCATTGCTCACAGTGTCGAATATTTTTCAAATACTAATATACGATCGCTGCACGCTTTACAGAGAGACTTAAATGGGCAGAGCTGAAAAAGGAAAGAAGCTGTTGATGATACTATCATGGAATTGTTGTGCTTGAACATGTGGAGATTGTCTACAATTGAAATCTTTGTTTTAAATCTCTAAATTTCTTCAATTACGTGTGTTAGTTTTGATGGATCTTAATTATTTTCTGATGCCTGATAGGAAAAGACATGGGAGAGCTAAAATTTTTGAAGCAGAGATTGATTGAAATTTTTTTTTTTTTTAGGTTCTTTAAAGAAGTAGTATGACCTTATATAGTCGGACTCAATAAAAAATCTTAAAAAAGTGGTTTACATGTTTTCTTTTTCGAAAATATCAGTTAATAATAAATCTTAACACCTAGAAGGTGGAATATTATGGACGATGTTATTAAAATCAATTCGCGCAAAATATTCACTTCTATTTGGGTACACATTTTTCTGATTCAAATGTGAACAAATATTAATTTTGGTGTTGATTTCTCTCCATGTTTTCACAAAATTTTAGTTACTAAATGTAACCTTAGTTGATACTTTCTCCCAATCCCTGCAACTTTCTCATTATTTTTCATTTTTCCCCCTTTTCTGTTTAGGCTATGACTACATGTATTAAAAACCCTCGTTTTATTACTATTAAAAAAAAAACTCTCCATATTGTGGCAGGCTGAAGTTTCATGCTTTCTTGGCTGGATGGAAATTACAAATGAGAAATATTTACTTGATTGCACAATGAGCAACTTCACACTAATTTTGCAGAGATTTGTTTGTCGGAAATCATCTTCTAAAATCAAGAGCCAAACTTGAATGTCCAACAGCAGAATCAAACACATTTGATTAAGGGTAATTGTCAATACACAAGAAAAATCAGTATTTAAAACACCACCAACCAGTTTAAACACCATTATATATGTGTGTGTGTGTGCGCGCGCGCGCGCGCGCGCTTTATTTTAAATGAATTGATTGTATGAAAATTGAGAACGCACACACTGAATTGAAATGTTAGGCCATTGGATTTGGAGAGGTTATCAGAGCAAGTTTATGAACTTCACGACTGAAAAAATTACTTATGTTGTTAGTATATAACATGCATAATAATTTGTTGAGAAACAACATATATAATATATTTTTTATACAACAGAAATTATATAATATTTATTTTCCTGATATTATTATTCAAGTCAATAATTATTACTCCTTGGGGCTCTAAATTGCACAAGTTAGTAGATGATTCTAGTTTACCTTGTCCTCTAAATTTATAATTATTTTCTAACCTCTTCTTATTGATTACATGTATATATTGGTATGATTTTTTATGGGGAAAATAGTTTTCAATGCAGATAAATAAAAAAAGTAGTTTTGAAAAAATAAAAATGTGTTTTTTTAAGAATAACTAGCTTAATTATTTTTCTCAATATTTTTAAATTAATTATCAGACTCCTAAGAATTTTCTTTCATTAGCTTTCAAATTAAGAAAAACAAAAGACCTTTTTCAATTTATGAATTATTTATTATTTTCATGTTATTATTTTCAATTTATTATCTAAATTGGCAAATTTGTTTCCATCATTATTATTGTAATATAAAATTTAAATTTAAAAATTTGTCAGTCGTGTTCTAGTGTCTGAATCATGTGTTGGTCCCAAACATAATTCGTCCCAAATATAATTCGTCCTTTATGGTTAAGAATTCCCAAAATCAATATCAATTAAAAGAAACGGCTTTTATAATATTTAAATAGAGAAGCAAAAATGGAAAATAGCTTACTTTTAAGAAAAATTCATTATTTTAATTAATACTATTGATTATACCAATAATATAATAGTATTGTGTTGATTAATTTAATATTATTTTTTTACGTATATCTGTGCATAAGTTTAGAAATTAGTTCCCTCCAAACAAATTTCGTTATTTTGACTAACTTTCCCTTTTTTTTTTTTTTTAATTAAGCCATACAACAGGATAAAGTTAAGGAAATACATACTATCAAATTATTAGTTGAGATGGTAAGTAATCTCATGATAAGAATACAAGTTTAAATTTTGGAAAATATACTTATTAGAAAGACTTTAACTTTGATGCTTCTGATTTGAAGAAAATTAGTTTCTATACTCTGACTTTAAAAAAGAAATCTAAGAGGATATAATAGTTCCAAAACTACCAAGCAGAACTAAACTTTCAATGGTTGAAGATAGTTGTAATTTAATATTTTTTTAGTATGAATTCTTTAAATTCTGGTGTCTCATTGTCTAAACGTAATTTGCAAGGTCAATACAGTTCATTTGGGAATTTTGAAACACAATAATTATGTTGGGTTGTTTGGTAAGCTTGATTTTTCTTCAACTTCTTTTTCTTTGGGCTGGTCTTCCTAAGGATCCGAAGAAAAAAGAAAAAGGATCAAAAAAATTAGTGCTTCTTTTGATGATTTATTAATTATATTTTACTTAATTAAAATAATATGAACATAGAGGCGATTTTGATTTTTTAATTATCATATATTTTATTTTTTCTGTGACAATCATATATTTTATTTTAATAAAATTATATAGATACATATATATATTTTTGAAAAAAAATTCTTCGTTGCCTTCTTTTTTTTGTAAAAAGGGAAAATTCATACTACTAAAAAAGTGTTCAAGCATATTTACAAGACAAATAAGTCGAGGAGAAGGAATGTGTGTTTTACATGGGTATATTATTCATGACTTGTATATAATATAACTTATTATAATTTTTATATTTGTTTTTATTTGTGGTTGAATCATTTAAAGGACTACAAAAAATTATTTTATAAAATTAAAGGACTACAACAAAACATTATGACAAATTAAAGGGTTAAGGATATAGTTCTGCCATGATTTATAATTAGAAATTTCTCTCTTGTGCAGTGCACGGACTAATATATTTGATTAGATTTGAAATTCTAAGAAATTGTATTATTTAACATAGCTCAAGATTCACTTCTTATAAGAATATGATTTTTTTTATTCATTCAAATTGGATTTGAATTAGAGATGTGAAATTTAGAGGCAACAGATAAAAATTTAAAATTATTTATTTATTTAAACCTCCAATTGATATAAAATTTAATTATGATGCTCCTTATTTAATTCAATATATTCAAATCCCAATTAAGATATTATTCAAATCTGAAATTAATTATTAATTTTTTAATTTGAATGAAATTCCATTTAATTATAATATTTTCCATTTAATTCAATATATTCAAATTCCAATCAAGATATTATTTAAATATCATTAATTAAATATATTTAGATTTCAAAATTAATTAATAATTTTTTTTTCATTTTGAGCCACTAATTAAAATATCATTTAATAATGATGCTCTCCATCTAATTTAATATATTCAAATTTCAATTAAAGATATAATTTAAATTAAAAATTAATTATTAATTTTTTTATTTAAGCTTTTGATTGAAATCCTACTTATTTAATTCAATATATTCAAATCACAATCAAAATATTATTCAAATTTTGTTAATAAAACATATTTGAATTTTATAATGTATAATGTTATACCGCACTCATTTTCAAACAGTGAAGTGTTACGAGTTTTCAAGTTGAGAGTTAATAATGATTGATGATAATTGACGTTGAACGAAAAAGAAAAGCAGAGCCGCGTTAGCGGTAACGTACATTCATTTCCAAATATTGCTGTGTCAAATTATTTGGCTAAAGAGCCCTTAGCTTTCCCTTGCTTTGGCACTAGGCGCACTTCTCTGTTTGCTACTATAGACCCTTTGCTCTTCTTCTTCTTCTTCACCTCCTTTCCTTCTAATTTTCTCCTATTTAAATAAAAAATTTTCTAGACTTATTGTAACACATTGGTTTGTATAATTAATCACTTCAAATCCGTGTAATATTGAAAACAACGTTATTACTGTCCCATCAGATAGTTTATAAGAAAGCATTCATCTTTTCTGTTAAAATGTCTTATTAGACGGAAGTAGTATATTTTAATACTCCGATCTTCAATAGAATTAATTTACTAATTTGAATAGATTAAAAAAATTTGTTATGTTATTATTTATAATAAATAAGTATTATCTTCCCTAAATACCTATGCTAATGAAGTATCATTTAATAAAATATTTAATATGTGCAACAACTATAAATACTACCTTAAAACAAATGTATAAACATAATAAATAAAATAGAGTAGGTATTTTATTTGGAACCAAATTAAAAATCAAATTAATTATCACATTAATTGTAAAATAAATTTATACACATTTGTCCGATGCAAAGTTAATTAATGCCAATACGTGGCCCTGTTGGGCAAAAAAAAGAGGGAAAATTACACTCAGGTCTCACAGAGTACAATTAATATCAGAAAGGTCCCACGAAATCGCGAAATGATTCTGAAGTCCCCAGGGACCTGTGTGTAATTAATTCTCATTGTGAAATTACCTACTTACCCCTGTTAATTTTATTGCAACAATTCGTTTACAATCTCAACAGTGGCTGTTAACAACCTGAGAAGACGTGATTGACAACCTCGGCAGTGCTCATGACAACTCACTCTGTGGAATGCCAGGGGTGTTGTTGAGGTTGTTAACCACCTCTTCTCGGGTTGTTAACAGCCACTGTTGATGTTGTAAATAGGTTCTAATTTTATTTACAATCTCAACAGTGCTGTTAACAACCCGAGAAGACGTGATTGACAACCTCGGCAGTGCTCATGACAACTCACTCTGTGGAATACCAGGGGCGTTGTTGAGGTTGTTAACCACCTCTTCTCGGGTTGTTAACAGCCACTGTTGAGGTTGTAAATAGGTTCAAATTAACAGGGGTAACTACGTAATTTCACAATTAGAATTAATTACACACAGGTCCCTGGGGACTTCAGAATCATTTCGCGATTTCGAGGGACCTTTTTGATATTAATTGTGTTCTGTGGGACCTGAGTGTAATTTTCCCAAAAAAAGAAGCAGAAAAGTCGCCATAGCTGCAAGTCAGAGAGCTTCCTCGCAATAATTCACCTTCCATTCAAAAGATGTCGGCAAGTATGTATATCTCGAAAGTCCAACAATTGCACCATGTTAAATTATTTGGCCAAAGAGCTTCTAACTTTCCCTTGTATTGGCATTAGACTCACTTCTCTGTTGCTGTCATCGATCCCTTCCTCTTCTTGATCATTTTTTTCTTCCTACCATGTCTGGTGCAGATGTTGGCATTGCCTTTCTGTCTGCCTTCCTTCAGGTGGCTTTTGACCGGTTGGCCACTGGAGAAACCCTTCCCTACTTCCAAAAGAGACGATTGAACGAGACACTGGTGAAGAAGTTGAAGATCATGCTCATATCTGTGAACAGTGCAATTGATGATGCTGAGTATAAGCAGTTTAGTGATCCAAATGTGAGGGCCTGGCTTTTGGAGCTCAAAGACGCTGTGTACGATGCTGAGGATGTCTTGGATGAGATTAGCAATGAACTCTACAAACGCAAGTTGGAAGCCGAAGCTGAACCTCAAACTAGTGTTACTAGCAAGGTACGCAAATTCTTCAATGCTTCTGCTACTTCATTTGACCAGGAAATTGAATCAAGGATGAAACAAGTCCTTGAAAACCTTGAATTTCTTGAGAGCAGAAGGATTGGTTTGGGATTAAACGAAGGTAAAGATGGTGCTGTTGGGTCTGTCACAAAGCTGCCGACAACTTCTTTGGTGGATGAAGTTGGAATATGTGGAAGGGATAAGGACAAAGATATCATCATTAAGCAGTTGCAAAATGACTGTCACTTTTCTGTGATCTCTATAGTCGGTATGGGTGGACTGGGCAAGACTACCCTTGCTCAGCTTGTTTATAATGATAAAAGGATTAAGAGTGAATTTGACCTCAGACTTTGGGTATGTGTTTCTGATGACTTTGATGTTTTGAGGTTGACAAAAATAATTTTCAAGAAAATCATGACATCTAACGATGAGGCACAAGATTTAGATGCACTTCAAAATAAATTGAAGGATTGGTCGTCTAAAAAAAAATTTCTTATTGTTCTTGATGATGTTTGGTGTGATGATTACGTATTATGGGAAGCTTTTTTAGCACCTTTCATCGGTGGGGTTGTGGGAAGCAGAATTCTTGTTACTTCACGCAATGAGAAAGTTGCCTTAGCCGTCCCCTCTGATGAAATATATCACCCAAATCACTTGTCAGATGAAGATGGTTGGTTGTTATTTACAAAGTATGCATTTCGCAACTGTTGTCCACCAACGAATTTTAATCATGAAGAAATTGGAAGAAAGATTGTTAAAAAGTGCAAAGGTTTGCCTTTGGCCTTGAAAACAATTGGGAGTCTCTTGTACAGGAAATCATCTTGGGAAGAATGGAACAATATTTTGAGAAGTGAGATATGGAACATTTCTTATAAAAATATTCTTCCTGCTTTGATATTGAGCTATCATTATCTCCCTTCTCATCTAAAACGATGCTTTGCTTATTGTTCATTATTCCCAAAGGATTATGAATTTGGCAAGGAGGAATTAATTCTATTGTGGACGGCTCACAATTTCTTACAAGCCTCTCATGCAAATAAGTCAATTGAAGAAGTAGGCAATGAATACTTCCAAGAGCTTGTGTCAAGATCTTTTTTTCAGGAGTCTTCTGAAAATGAAGCATGTTTTGTTATGCATGATATTCTCAATGATTTGGCAAATTTTGTATCAGGAGAGCTTTGTTTCAAGCAAGAGGTTAAAGAGGCGGCATATAATGTAGAAAAAACCCGTCACTTATCTTTTTCGCGTCATCAATTTAGAGAATATAGATGGTTTGAGAATTTGGAAAAAATGAAAAAATTACAGACATTCTTGCCTCTTACTGGTTTCGAGTGGATTTCAAGCGACCTAATATTTGACCAATTATGTAAGTGCAAATGCTTGCGAGTTTTATCTCTAACTTCCAATTACACAATTAAGGAGATACCTGATTCTATAGGAAATCTCATACATCTACGGCGTCTTGATCTATCTTATTGTGAAATTAAGAGACTTCCTGAGTCAATATGTCTGCTGTATAACCTACAAATATTGAGGTTGGTCAATTGCAGACTCTTGGTTGAGTTGCCTGTTGATTTTCATAAATTAAAAGATTTGCGGCTTCTAGATTTACTATACACTATGTTGAAAAAGATTCCACCAAATATGGGAGAGATGAAAAATCTTCAAGTTCGATCGGCATCATTTAGAGTGGGCAAACATAATGAGCTTAACATCAAACAATTATGCGAACTCAATCTTCAGGGAAAGCTTTCAATTTATGAGTTGCAGAATGTAGCTCATGGAATGGACGCCTTACAAGCCAACTTGAAAGAAAAAAGGTACCTTGAGGAGTTACTCTTCGAATGCAATAAAGACAATAATGATGATTCTCAGAATGAGAGGGATGTGCTAGAGAAGCTGCAACCTCACCAAAATTTGAAGAAACTATCAGTCGAGAACTATGGTGGCACAAGGTTTCCAGATTGGTTTGCTGATAACACATTGTCCAACATAGTGGAGCTCCGATTACAAGGTTGCAAGTATTGTTTCGTGTTGCCATCGTTAGGCCTTTTGCCTTCTCTCAAGTCACTACTCATTGGAAAGTTGGACGGCATTGTGGCTATTGGTGCTGAATTTCTCGGAAGTGATTCTTCTACTGTTCCATTTAGATCTCTTGAAACCTTGGAGCTCGAGGGAATGGTGAATTGGGAGGAATGGGATTGTGCGACTGCTTCAAGGGCCTTCCCATGCCTTAAACAGCTTTGTATAAGAAAGTGTCCAAGGCTTAAAGAGAATTTGCCCGAACAACTTCTTTCTTTAACTAATCTTTTTATTCAAGATTGCCCACAACTTGTAGCTTTGGTTCCACGAGCCCCGACAATTCGATGGTTGGTTCTTGAAAACTGTGGAAACGTGCGGTTGGAATATATCCCATCCACTCTAAAAGCACTCTGCTTTCGTGGACCATGCATGAAGGTGAGTTTGCTTGAAAAGATTGAGCAAACCATTAGTAACTCCTGTATTGAAGAGGTTGCGATTTGCGACTGTCCGGATTGGGAGTTCCCATTGAAGCAACATCATGACTCACTTCGTGAGATACGGATATATAGAAGTTGTGGGTCTCTTGGGACCTACGCATTGGATCAATTCCCCGCACTTCAGGATTTGTCTCTGTATGGTTGTGATAATTTTGAAATGATTTCTATTTCAGAGGGGCGCAACCATGGGAATCTTACAAGTTTAAGCATTACGAAGTGTCCAAAATTCATATCCTTTCCGGAAGAGGGGTATTTTGCCCCTAGGCTAAAATATTGCCACTTTGAAGATTTGGAGGATTTGAAATCAGTACCTGAGCATATCAACATTTTTGCTCCGTCTCTTAGTGAACTACGTATAAGAGATTGTCCACAAATGGAATCGTTGCCAGAGGGGGGTCTGCCATCAAAACTGACGCATCTTTCTATCAGCAAATGCCCGAAACTGTTTGCATGTCGAATGCAATGGGGTTTGCACGATTATGATTTTCTACGTGAATTGAGCATCATAGGTGACGATGTGGTGGAGTCTCTACCTAAACCAGGACTACTCCCAACTTCTCTTACTTTTCTTTGGATCGGCAACTGTTCCAATCTCAGAATGTTGGACTACAAGGCTCTTTGTGAATCGCCCTGCCTCAAACATTTAACTATTATGAATTGTTCGAGACTCGAATGCTTGCCCATGGAGGGCCTCCCCACTTCCCTTTGTTCCCTTCAAATTAGCGGAGCTTGTCCAACGCTTAAACAAAGATGCCAGAAACCAGAAGGGGAAGATTGGGAAAAGATTGCTCACATCCCTCGCGTTGATATTTATTAGCCAACCCTCAGGTATCTTTTGCTGCGTATTTATTCCTATACACATATTCCTTTCTGTTTAACGCAATCAATAGAAAAAGCATACATTGGTGATCATACCGGGATTATTTTATATTCGCTCTCTTCTTAACGTTGCTTCAAAGTTTCTCTTTGCTTGATTAGCCGAGAAGTACATTCCCATTATAAAACTAAGAACTCCTTTCACATTAACATCTATATATTTGAATTCTAAAAATTTATTCTGGCATTCTTTCTTTTTAGGGGCAATAACAAATGAGATTACTGTGTCACTTCAGTTCCCAATCTAAAGCATTGCCACAGGAATCACTGAAGATGCTTTTTTGTTCTGTGGCTTGCTGTGAAGATCTCTTCAGGGCGTAAGCGCACATACTGGAAGGAGATTTGAAATGAATTATTTACAAAAGCAAATTTCCATTGCTCACAGTGTCGAATATTTTTCAAATACTGATATATGATAGCTGCACGCTTTACAGAGAGACTTGAGTGAGCAGAGCTGAAAAAGGAAAGAAGCTGTTGATACGTATACTTTAGATGAACTGATTAAGAATAATGAGTAGAATTTTAAAGCTTTGATTTTTATATTTAAAACTTTTTTTTTAATGAACTTTGTCTCATGTAATATACTTACATTGCGTGTGTTAGTTTTGATGGATCTTAATTGTTTTCTGATGCCCGATTGGAAAGGACATGGGAAAGCTGAAATTTTTGAAGCAGAGATTGATTGAATTTTTTTTTTTGGTGCTTTAAAGAAGTATTATGACTTTATATAGTCGGATTCAATGAAAATTCTTTAAAAAAAAATGATTTACACGTTTTCTTTTTTGAAAATATCGGTTAATAATAAATCTTAACGCCTATAATAATAATAATAATATTATTATTATTATTATTATTATTATAGACGATCGTGTTAAAATCAATTTGCACAAAGTATTTACTCCTGAATAGACATAATGTAATGATTTTTATATTATGATCTAAAACCACACATTTTAGAACACATTTTTCTGATTCAGATGTGAACAAAATATTAAATTTTGTGTTAATCTCTGAACATGTATTTGCAAAATTTTAATTAGTAAATGTAGCCTCCGTTGATACTTTCTCCCAATCCCTGCAACTTTCTCATTATTTTTCTTTTTTTCCCCTTTTTCTGTTTAGGCTATGACTATGTGTAATAACGTCGTCTTATTATTATAGTTGATCTTTTATTGGGGCCGTATAGCTGGGAATACGGGCCAACCACCCGCGGGTTATGTGGTGCGGGCTGGAGTAGCCCGCATTTTGGCGGGCTAGAAAAGTCCCAACCCTAACCCGTCATAGCGGGTTGGCGGGCTGGCGCCATCTTTTTTTTTTTTTTTTTTTTAATTCTCAATTTTTAAATCTTATTTTTATTTAATTTTTAAACTAATAAATGGTGATCCAAAATTTCAAAAGTAATTACAAGTATAAATTATATTTAACCACATTTAAAATAGTCAATATAAATATAAAACAATATATTACAAATATTTACATGACTAACATTCGACATCAACTTATCAAGTGATAAATTTTATAATTTTTTTATACAAATGTCATGTTGATACAAAACACTATCTCTTAATAAATTAGAAGTGCATTTATCTAACTTTTTTTAAAGTTCATTCACCATATTTTTCTAAAATACTTTTTTTCTGTAATAAATATTATCTTATATTTGATTGTAGTTATTAAATTTTTGCTACAAATATGGTATGCTTATTTTAAAAAAATATTTGTTGTTTACATATGTATTATGTAACATGAAAATTGAGATGTAAATGAGAAAAGAAAATTTCAAATATAATAATATATTATTTATATGAAAAATTAAATAAATAAAAAAGGTGACGGGTTAGGCAGGCCAACCCGCCAACCCGCGAGCTAGCCTGCCACAAGCCCGCGGGTTATGCGGTGCGGGTTGAGCAGCCCGCATTTTGACGGGTTGGCAAAATGTTAACCCTAACCCGCTCTTTTATGGCGGGTTGGCGGGCTTGGCCGTGGGCTCCAACCCATATTTCTGGTTGTAATTGGGGGGGAAAAAATCTCTCCATATTGTGGCAGGTTGAAGTTTAATGCTTTTTTGGTTGGATGGAAATTGAAAAATGAGAAATATTTACTTTATTGGACAACGAGCAACTTCACACTAATTTTGCAGAGATTTGTTTGTCAGGAATTATCTTCTAACCTGGCCACTCACTGCCAAGGGTAGCAACTCAAGAAAATAGCTTTAATTTATTAAATACAATAGATAAACTTCCTCTAATTGACACGGTTTTTATTTTTTGCTAATGGAGGGAGAAAGAGTGTGAAATTAAAGTAAATGATGCCCCAAAAAATGAAAGAAATAAAAAAAGAAACAGAATGGTTATCATTTGTTTCCTTCTACTTTCATTTCATTGAATTCTCCTCTAAAATAGAGTCAAACAGTAGAATCAAACACATTTACACTTGATGATGGATCCGGCAGTCTGCTCAGGGTTCCAAACTCAACGTTGGCAAAAGAAATCAAATTTGAATTCCCAGCAATGGATACTTTGTAATCCAGTAATTCTGCTATGGGCCTATTTTTCAACCGTACGGCATCTTTTGCGTATTGCATACGGCTCTACTATGGAATTGGACAAAGTTACTCCCTCCGTTCCTTATTATAAGAGACAAATAACCGAAGAAGTACGTTGATCAAAAAAACAGTTAAAATTAGTTGAGAACAATTAATGTGTAAAAGTATAATTTTTTTCCAAAAATGCCCTCATTAATAAGGAGAGAGAGCATGAGAGAGAACATTTAAATTATTAAAAGAAAGAGAAGTGGGAGGGAGAGAGAGTGTGAGTTGGAGATAATAAATATGGGTAAAATAGTAAATCAACACAAAAAAGTAGAGACAACTTGTAAGTGTCTCTTATATATAGGAACATGCTATAAGCATTAAATGTCTCTTATAATAAGGAACGGAGGGAGTATCTACTAAATTGTGATATAACTATCCTTTGTATGTAAAGTAAAAAGTCTCGAGATTTTGGGGATAAAGGCCAACCGCAAATTATGTCTTGAGCAGTTACATATCCTGGACCCTTGACCCAATATCATTCTATTAATTTCATAATTTCAAATTAATTTAGAAAAGAATTCGAGTTATTTGCCGAACTTATTCCAATTCAATAAGAGATCTCAATATTATGCCTTGAAGAGGACATTATTTCGAGGATCTTTAATCATTTCAAAAATGGCAGCAACATACCAATTTTCAAGTATGAAAGCTATAATTGTAAACCACGATCAAATCCATGGAAGCATTGGTCAAAAAGCGTTTGTAACTAATCGGGTAGGGGTCCCTCCCTACGTTAGACAAACTCAACATTAAGGGTCATCGTCAATACACAAGAAAAATCAGTATTTCAAATATCACCAACCAGCTTAATTAAACACCGATTTTTTTTCATATATGCTTTATTTTAAATGAATTAATTGTATAAAAATTGAGAATGCACACACACTGAATTGAAATGTTAGGCCGTTGGATTTGGAGAGGTTATTAGAGTAAGTTAATGATGAATTTCACGAGTACTGAAAAAATTACTTACGTCATTAGTATATACCATAGATAATATTTTGTTGAGAAACAACACATATAAGATATCTTTTATACAACAGAAATTATATAATATTTATTTTACTGATATTATTATTCAAGTCAATAATTATTACTCCTTCGGGCTCTAAATTGTAGATATGATTTTTTTTATCCGGAAAATAGATTTCAATGCAAATAATTACAACAGTAGTTTTGAAAAAATAAACACGTGTTTTTTAAGGAATAACTAGCTCAATTATTTTTCTCAATATTTTTAAATTAATTATCAAGCTCCTAATAATTTTTCTTTCATGAGCTTTCAAATTAAGAAAAACAAAAGACCTTTTCAATTTATGAATTATTTATTATTTTCACGTTATTCTAATTCTTGATATCAAACAAAGGAGTCCAATTGATCTCATCTTTCAAAAATTTGTAGGTGAGATTGGGAGAGGGTTCCATCAAACCATAATTTCTTCATAAACGTTGGGGACATGTGGGACAAAGGGCCATATACGGAAAGAAAATTGAGTGTCCAATAATGCCATTTTTATCATGTTTCCTAATCATAACTTTTCCATTGCATGCATTTCGATATCCTTACAAGAAAATTTCTCTCTATAGCTCTTTATTTTATTTCAAGTGGTGATATTTAATACTTCAAAATCAAAGGGAAAAAAATTAAGAAAGAATCCCAAAAAAATATTTTAAAATTTTAAAATTTTAAATCAGTCTTATTTACTATGTTTTAATAATAATTGACAGCATTTGAAAAAAAAATAATAACACATTTTTGTAGTTATTCCTAATTTGAGATTCTGAAATGTTAAAAGTATTTTTCAAAATTTTTCAAAAATTAATTCCCTATATAAATATAATAAAAAGTTAAGTATTAAAAATAAAATGGGTCATATCACATATCCATTAATGAACATTATTATTATTATCATTATTATTATAGTATTAATTAGAACCATAATTTTGTCAATACTAGAGACTAACCTCTTTCAAAATATTGAGAGTAAAAGATACACATAAGGTGTGGATTCGAAATTTAACCATTTGCTTAAATCACGAAGTCTCCTATTATTTTTGCCAACCTAAATTGGTAAATTTGTTATTATTATTGTAATATAAAATTTAAATTTAAAATTTTTTAAGTCGTGTTCTAGTGTCTAAAGCATTTGTTGGTCCCATATATAATGCGTCCTTCATGGTTAAGAAATCAATATCAATTAAGAGAAACAACTTTTATAATATTTGAACAAAATGGAAAATAGCTTACTTCTAAGAAAAATTTATTATTTTAATTAATCTTATGATTATATCAATAATATAATAGTTTTGTGTTCATTAATTTAATACTTGTTCCCCCCCAAAAAAATTCATTATTTAGACTAACTTTCTTTTATTTTTATTTTTCTTTTCTTTTTGATTAAGCCATACTATAGGATAAAGCTAAGAAAATACTCCTCCGGTCCTTAATATAAGACCTATTTAACTAATTTGATTAGATTAAGGAAGTTAGGTAAGTTAGTTAATTATAAGAAAGTGATACATTTTTCCTAAAACACTATAATCATCTTTCTTAATATCCTCTCTTCTTCTTCTACTTGATTATGGTTGAGGAAGTATTTCTAGGGGTAATTTAGAGAAAATTGATAAATATGATAAATGGGTCTTATATTTAGGACTAAAACCAACTCAAGAATTAGGTCCTATATTAAGGACTGGAGGAGTACACACTAACAAGCTATTGATTGAGATGGTAAGCAGTCTCATTCTATAAAGAGAAAAATATAAGTTCACTTCCTGAGAAACGCACTTGTTAAATGTAATTATGAGGGGTTGTTCGGTAAGATTGATTTTTCTTCACTTTCTTTTATTTTGGATTAGTCTTCCTAGAGATCCAAAGAGAGAAGAAAAAGGATAAAGAGAAGTAGTGCTTCTTTTGATGATTTACTAATTATCTTTTATTTAATTAAAATAATATGAAAATAGAGGCACTTTTAACTTTTTTTTTGGGAAAAAACTTGTCAAATGCTTTATTTTTAACAACATTATATATGTCCTAACTCTCGCCTGTTTTTTTTTTTAAATTATTATCTTCTTGTTCCTTTTTCTTTTTTCCCTGTAAAAAGTGAAAATTCAATTCATACCACTAAAAAAGTGTTCAAGCATATTTACAAGACAAATAAGTCGAGGAGAAGGTATATATGTATACATGTGTATATTATTCATGACTTCTATATAATATAACTCATTATAACTTTTATATTTGTTTTTATTTGTTCTCGAATCATTTAAAAGGCTATACAAAATTTAAACCTAAAAAAAAAAAATTCAAGTGCCCACGACTCCCGAGTATAAACTTCCAAGGGCAAATTCCCATTATTAAATTAGCAATCTCACAAATTGCTATCTTGTTTCATCTTAAATCATCATTATTTCAGGCCGAGAGGAAAAAAAATCCAACCATCTTGATTGCCTTGCCCAAATTGGATTTTAATACCCTAGTTAAAAGTTTTACATATTACTACCTTCGGTCTTTAATATAAGACCTTGTTTGACTTTTATTTTAGTCCTAAGTATAAGACCTTAATCCACTTTGTCTCTCATATTTATGTATTTTTTTTCTAAGATAGTTTTAGACAATACACTTGATTAGTAAGGATATTTTATGAAAGACACTACCTATTTATTACAAATAACTAAATTAACTTAACTTCTTTTCTTAATTTTCTTAAATTAATTAACTAGCTCTTATAATTAGGACTAGAGATAGTATATATGTTTTTTTGCCCTGCAACTTCGTGGTGGCTGCTTCTCTTCGTGAGGTAGAATATAATGTTGAATGAATCTTCTTACTCGTTTTTCGCTCTCTCATTAGCAATTTTGTCGCCTCCCATGCAAAGGAAAAGAAAAGCAGAACCACGTTAGCTGCACCCAATCATACCCTTAATTCAAAAGTTGCCGGCCACTTTACTGTAACGTACGTTCATCTCGAAATATTGCTGTCAAATTATTTGGCTAAAGAGCTCTTAGCTCTCCCTTGCTTTGGCAGTCGGCGCCCTTTCCGCGTTCGCGACAATTGATCCCTTGCTCTTCTTCTTCACCCCTTTTCCTTCTAATTTTACTCATATTTAAATAAAAATTTTCCAGACTTATTGCATTACATTCTTTTTTATAATTACTTACTTCAAATCAGTGTAATATTGAAAAAAAAAACTTTATTAATGTCCCATCAGATAATCTATAATAAAGCATTCATCTTTTCTGTTAAAATGTCTTATTAGACTGAAGTAGTATATTTTAATATTCTAATCCTTAACATCAGAACTAGTTAATTAATTGGAATAGATTAAAAAAATTAGTTATGTTAGTATTTACAATAAATATGTATTGTCTTTCCTAAAATATCTTTACTAATCAAGTATTAGTTGATTAAACATTTAATATATGTAACTATCACAAATATTATCTTGAAAAAAAATATAAATATAATATATAAAATAAATTGGAATGTTATACTTATGATAAAATTAAAAATTAAACCAACTTTTATATTAAGGACTATCATGTTAATTGTATAATAAATTTATACACATTTGTACTCTGCAAAGTTACTTAATGCCAATACGCGGCCTTTTTGCGTGGGGGCGGGGGGAGGGGGGAGGGGAGAAAAGTCGCTATAGCTGCAAGTCAGAGAGCTTCCTCGCAACAATTCACCTTCCATTCAAAAGATGTCGGCAAGTATGTGTATCTCGAAAGTCTAAAAATTGCATTATACCTCCCATGCAGAGGAAAAGAAAAGCAGCGCCGCGTTAGCTGCACTCAAATAAGTCAAAACGCATCCTCTCAATAATTCACCTTTAACTCAATAAGATGTCGGCCACTTTACTGTAACGCACAGTCATCTCCAAATAGTGCTCTGTCAAATTATTTGGCCAAAGAGGGCTTAGCTTTCCCTTGCTTTGGCAATAGGCGCACCTCTCTGTTGGCTACCATCAATCCCTTGCTTTTCTCCTTCTTCCTCATCCCTTTTCCTTCTAATTCATGCCATGGCTGCAGAACTTGTTGGTGGTGCTGTTTTGTCTTCCTTCCTTCAAGTGGCTTTTGACCGGTTGGCTTCTGATGCAACTCTTCACTACTTCCGAAAGAGAGAAGTGAATGAGACTCTGGTGAAGAAGTTGAAGATCATGCTAATATCCATCAACAGTGTCATTGATGATGCTGAGTATAAGCAGTTCATTGATCCAAATGTGAGGGCCTGGCTTTTGGAGCTGAAAGATGCTGTGTACGATGCTGAGGATGTCCTGGATGAGACTAACTATCTCTACAAATGCAAGTTGGAAGCCGAAGCTGAACCTCAAACTAGTGTTACTAGCAAGGTACGCAAATTCTTCAATGCTTCTGCTACTTCATTTGACCAGGAAATTGAATCAAGGATGAAACAAGTCCTTGAAAACCTTGAATTTCTCGAGGGCAGAAAGATTAGTTTGGGATTAAAAGAAGGTAACGGTGGTGCTGTTGGATTTGACAAAAAGTGGAGGACTGAGACAACTTCTTTAGTGGATGAAGTTGGAATAATTGGCAGGAATACAGACAAAGAAATTATCTTTCAACAGTTGAAAAATGACCGTCACTTCTCTGTGATTTCAATAGTGGGTATGGGTGGGCTGGGTAAGACCACCCTTGCTCAGGTTGTTTATAATGATAAAAGGGTTGAGAGTAAATTTGACCACAGATTTTGGGTATGTGTTTCTGATGACTTTGATGTTTTGAGGTTGACAAAAATAATTTTCAAGAAAATCATGGCGTCTAATGATGACACAGGAGATTTAGATGCACTTCAAAGTAAGTTGAAGGATTGGTCATCTAAAAACATATTTCTCATTGTTCTTGATGATGTTTGGTGTGATGATTACTTATCATGGGAAGATTTTTTAAAACCTTTCAAAGGTGGGGTTGCGGGAAGCAAAATTCTCATCACTTCACGTAACGAGAATGTTGCCTTAGCCGCCCCCTCTGATAAAATATATCACCCAGATCAACTGTCAGATGAAAATGGTTGGTTATTATTTACAAAGTATGCATTTCGCAATTGTTGTCCACCAACGAATTTTGATCATAAAGAAATTGGAAGAAGGATTGTTAAAAAGTGCAAAGGTTTGCCTTTGGCCTTAAAAACAATTGGGAGTCTCTTGTATAGGAAATCATCTTGGGAGGAATGGAACAACATTTTGAGAAGTGAGATATGGAATATTGCTTATAATAATATTTTTCCTGCTTTGATATTGAGCTATCATTATCTCCCTTCTCATCTCAAGCGATGCTTTGCTTATTGTTCATTATTTCCAAAAGATTATCAATTTGAAAAGGAGAAATTAATTCAATTGTGGATGGCTCACAATTTCTTACAAGCCTCTCAACCAAATAAGTCAATTGAAGAAGTAGGTAATGAATGCTTCCAAGATCTTTTGTCAAGATCTTTTTTTCAGGAGTTTTCTGTATATGAAGCAATTTTTCCAGATAAAGAATATTTTGTTATGCATGACATGCTCAATGATTTGGCAAATTTTGTATCGGGAGAGCTTTGTTTCAAGCAAGAGGTTAAAGAGGCGGCATATAATTTAGAAAAAACCCGTCACTTATCTTTATTGTATCATGAAGATGGAGAATATAGATTGTTTGAGAATTTGCGAAAAATGAAAAAATTACAAACATTCTTGCCTCTTATTGATTGGCGGACACCCAAACTCAGGTGGACTTCAGGCGACCTAATATTTGATCAATTGTGTAAGTGCAAATACTTGCAATTTTTATCTCTGACTTTTTGTGGCACAAGTAAGGAGATACCTGATTCTATAGGAAATCTCATACATCTACAGTATCTTGATCTATCTGGATGTGAAATTAAGAGACTTCCTAAGTCAATATGTGTTCTGTATAACCTACGAACATTGAAGTTGGTCAACTGCAGACTCTTGGTTGAGTTGCCTGCTAATTTTTATAAATTAAGAAATTTGAGTCATCTAGATTTACGATTCACTAGCTTGAAAAAGATTCCACCAAATATGGGAGAGATGAAAAATCTTCAAGTTCGGTCGGCATCATTTGAAGTGGGCAAATGTAATGAGCTCAACATCAAACAATTAGGCGAACTCAATCTTCAAGGAGAGCTTTCAATTTATGAGTTGCAGAATGTAGTTCATGGAACGGATGCCTTACAAGCCAACTTGAAAGAAAAATGGTACCTTGAGGAGTTATCCTTCAAATGGAATAAAGACACCAATGATAATTCTGAGATTGAAAGGGATGTGCTAGAGAAGCTCCAACCTCACCGGAACTTGAAGAAACTATCAGTCAAGTACTACGGTGGCACAAGGTTTCCAGATTGGTTTGTTGATGACACATTGTCCAACATGGTGGAGCTCCGATTAGAAAGTTGTAAGTATTGCTTGGCATTGCCATCGTTAGGCCTTTTGCCGTCTCTCAAGTCACTATTCATTGAAAATTTGGATGGCATTGTGGCTGTTGGTGCTGAATTTCTTGGAAGTGATTGTCCTATTGTTCCGTTTAGGTCTCTTGAAACCTTAGTGTTCACGGGAATGGTGAATTGGGAGGAATGGGATTGTGCGACTGCTTCAAGGGCCTTCCCATGCCTTAAAGAGCTTCGTATAATAGATTGTCCAAAACTGAAAGAGAATTTGCCCGAACAACTTCTTTCTTTAGATGATCTTGTTATTAAAGATTGCCCACATCTTGTAGCTTTGGTTCCACGAGCCCCAACAATTCGACGGTTGACTCTTAAAAAATGTGGAAACGTGCGGTTGGAATATATCCCATCCACTCTAAAACAACTCCGCTTTTGTGGACCATGCACGAAGGTGAGTTTGCTTGAAAAGATTGAGCAAACCATTAGTAACTCCTGTATTGAAGAGGTTGCGATTTGCGACTGTCCGGATTGGGAGCTCCCATTGAAGCAACATCATGACTCACTTCGTGAGATACGGATAGATAGAAGTTGTGGGTCTCTTGGGACCTTCGTATTGGATCAATTCCCCGCACTTCAGGATTTGTCTCTGCATGGTTGTAATAATCTTGAAATGATTTCTATTTCAGAGGGGCGCAACCATGGGAATCTTACGACTTTGAGCATTAGGAAGTGTCCAAAATTCGTATCCTTTCCGAAAGAGGGGTATTCTGCCCCTAGGCTAAAATATTGCTACTTTGAAGATTTGGAGGATTTGAAATCAATACCTCAGCATATCAACATTTTTGCTCCGTCTCTTACTGAACTACGTATAACAGATTGTCCACAAATGGAATCGTTGCCAGGGGATCTGCCACCAAAACTAACGTGTCTTCTTATCGAAAGATGCCCGAAACTGTTTGCATGTCGAATGCAATGGGGTTTGCACAATTATGATTTTCTACGTATATTGACCATCTCAGGTGATGATGTGGTGGAGTCTCTGCCTGAACCAGGACTACTCCCAACTTCTCTTACTTCTCTTCGCATCAGCAACTGTTCCAATCTCAGAATGTTGGACTACAAGGCTCTTTGTCAATCGCCCTCCCTCAAACATTTGGCCATTGTGAATTGTCCAAGACTCGAATGCTTGCCCAAGGAGGGCCTCCCCAGTTCCCTTTCTCTCTTTGAAATTTTTGGACTAGCTTGTCCGACGCTTAAACAAAGATGCCAGAAACCAGAAGGGGAAGATTGGGAAAAGATTGCTCACATCCCTCGCGTTTTTATTTATTAGCCAACCCTCAGGTATCTTTTGCTGTGTATTTATTCCTATACACATATCCCTTTCTGTTTAACGCAATCAATAGAAAAGCATACATTGGTGATCATACCGGGATTATTTTATATTCGCTCTCTTCTTAACGTTGCTTCAAAGTTTCTCTTTGCTTGATTAGCCGAGAAGTACATTCCCATTATAAAACTAAGAACTCCTTTCACATTAACATCTATATATTTGAATTCTAAAAATTTATTCTGGTATTCTTTCTTTTTAGGGGCAATAACAAATGAGATTACTGTGTCACTTCAGTTCCCAATCTAAAGCATTGCCAAAGGAATCACTGAAGATGCTTTTTTGTTCTGTGGCTTGCCGTGAAGATCTCTTCAGGGGGTAAGCACACATACTGGAAGGAGATTTGAAATGAATTAATTATACAAATAAATTTCCATTACTCACTCACATTGTCGAATATTTTTCAAATACTGTTAGATATTACATTCTTATTGATTTTTACTGATATATGATCGCCGCGCACTTTACAGAGAGACTTGAGTAAGCAGAGCTGAAAAAGGAAAGAAGCTGTTGATGATTGTATCATGGAATTGTTCTTAGGCTTGAACATTGGAGAGTATCCACAATTTGAATCATTTTGGGCATCTGGATCGATAATCAGTTTGTGAAGGGAAAGTGACCAAATTATTGTATTTTCTGGCCACCTTCTAAGTTCCTTTCTGTTTGCAAAATTATGTTTGTTAAACACAAGTTTAGAAATACAACTTTGGGGAAAAACCAGAACTTCATTTGCTCAAATAAATGTACCACGTTCTCTATTTGGTCATTCATATCATTTGTAGAAAATGTTACTGTTGTGTAATTATGTATAATTTCTTGATATATATTGTTCTTTTTAATTGTTTTGCTGATCATCATAAAATGGTAGTTATATATCATGATTTTTTTATCAGCCAAGCTCAATAAAATTAAGCCTCTTTGTCCAAGTGAGAAGGAATGAAAGCATCATAATACATACTTTTTTTTTTTTTGGACAGAGCATCATAATACATACTTAAATTTCTTCTTCTCTGTTTCTATGCTCTTGCTTTTAACTATTCTGCTGAATCATTTATTTACTTGAAGTGTGAAAATCTCTGAATTTCTTAAAGTGAAAAGAGATACCGATACATATACTTTAGAGGAACTTATTTAGATGAATGAATAGAATTTTTAAAGCTTTGTTTTATGTTTTTTTTTTTTTGGGTAAAGCTTTGTTTTATATTTTAAATTGGACGTTTCTATATATTGTGAGAATGAAATTTAGTTCCGGTAACATACTTACATTACATGTATTGGTTTTGATAGATCTTAATTATATTCTGATGCTAGATAGGAAAAGACATGGAAAAGCTGAAATTTTTGAGGCAAAGATTGATTGAAAATAACTTTTTTTTCCTTCTTTAAAGAAGTATTATGACTTTAATAGTCAGATTCAATGAACATTCTTTAAAAAAATAGTTTACATGTTTTTTTTTTTTGAAATATCAGTTAATGATAAATCTTAGAGTATAATACATTTACTACCTCTTTGTTTCACCTAAATTACAGAAATTTTTTTCTCTATTTTGAAAATATATATAAACTATTCTTAAAATTAAAATGTATGTTACACAAATCTTCTAACTGTTAATTAAGTTTGACTTTCAAACTTTTATTTTGACTAAAATATCTCTTTTTAACATAAAAATTATTTAAATATTTATATATGTCAAAAAAATAATTTTTGATAAAACAAAAAAATAATTATAATACATGTAGTTTCAAAGTTCTTTATGTGTTATATAAAATTTATAAATTTTGATTATATTATAGAATCATATAATTTAATTCTTCATGACATATTGAGATTTATTTATTTATTTTTTTTAAAAATAACTAGAAAATATTTTAAACACTTTTTGTTCATCATATAATCTAAATTATGTGAGTTTGGGACGTTATATAAATTATTTAAATTTATAATTTAAAATTTTTAAACAAAAATTTGTTGCAAACATTTATAACTCATTTGATTAATTATATATTTATTTAAAGAACTGATCAAATTTTTATTCAATTTTTTATGGTTATATTAACTAAATTACTTAATTTTCTGTCCCAGTATGATAAAAACATTAAGCAAATAACTATTTATAAAAATAAAAATAAAATTAAGGTAAATAAAATTTTTTTAACATTTTTCAAAATAGTTTTAGCCAAAATTTAAGGATACAGTATTATGAAGGATAAATCAATAAATAAAAAAATAGTTCAACACCAATTTTAATTAAAAAAAAGCATATTTTTATAATATTTTTAACGAAGTTAACAATTTGGACTTAAAAGTATATTTTTAAAATAAAAAAGAGATCTGTGTAATTAGAACAAAATACAAGAAACACTAGAGTATTTTACTCTAAATCTTAACACCTAGAAGGTGGAAGTGGAATATTATAGAGTATGGTATTCAAATTGTGGTAATTAACTTGATAGACCAATCAATTCGCACAAATTACTCACTTCTCTATAAGTGTAATCAATTGTAACTGCAATGATTTATATGTCAACCACAATTTTGGTACATATTTTTCGGATTCAAATGTCAACAAATATTAGTTTTGATGTTAATTTCTCTTCATGTTGTGGCAGGTTAAAGTTTCATGTTTTCTTGATAGGGATATGTTTGTCAGAAACTATCTTCCAACTTTGCCACTCACTAACCAGTGGCAACTCAAAAGAAAATAGCTTTAGAGTATTAGACAAGATAAACTTCTTAACATGATTTTTAGTTTTCGCTAATGGAAGGGGAAAGAGTGTAAAATTAGAGTCAATGATACCCCAAAAAATGAAAAAAAAAATAAAAAAGAAATAGATTGGTTATCATGTGTTTCCTTCTACTTCCATTTCATAGAATTCTCCTCTAAAATTAAGAACCAAATTTGAATGCCTATTTCATGCATTAAAATCAGTACTTAAGACACTACCAATTAGCCTAAACACCAATTTTTTTTCCCCACCAAAAGATACAAATAATGGAAAAATCAGCATCATTTTTCATACATTTCAAAAACTGCAGTCCTGATTAAGAAGAATGATAGAAAGTGATATTTAGAAAGCAAAATAACTGAAAAACATTGAAAATGCCATTGAACTATTAATCTAAACATGTTCTGTAACAAATAATCTATTCACATATATAGACACTACTATCCAACATAACAACATTGAAACTGACAATTAAGTTCGTTTGTATTAGTTTTCTTTGGATTTCCACTCCATAATGGGAGATAGAAGCGCGTAATTCGGAATCAGATTCTTATGAGGTAATGGCATATTTGTCATTGGTGATTCGTCATTTGTTTGCAGCCATGTTACAATTGCTTTGTAATCACAAGTATAACCATCACCAGCAACACAAGGATTATCCATCACGTCCTGCACCAATCACAATATGGCATGCCATTTCAATATGATATAGAAAAAGCAGAGGAAAAGGAAGGACAGGACTTGGGTTGAATAAAAATTATTCTTCATCTTGTTAGAGTCGTTTTCAGGATATAAAACATCTTTTATGAAGAATATGCTATTTTAGCAAAGAAACAGCCGACCCATATGAGCAAAGTGAAATATTTTATGGAGAATATGCTATTTTAGCAAAGAAACAGCCGACCCATAATCAAAACACATTCGGTTATGATTATGATTGCATGGCACCTAGTCCTATGATCTATCTTAGCTTATATCAAAATAAGAAAATAATCATCAAATTAATGTAGCCCATTGTTAAGAACACTGTTAAATAAAAGTGTAACATATAATGCAACTAAATTGCACGGTACATAATCTCATGATCTATTTCCATTTATTTATTGTCCTGCAAAGTTGAAGAAATTTCTAGAGCATAATATCCATCATATTGAATATATTTAACTATTTCTTTTTAATCAAAATTTTCCTTTTCTACATTTTAACCAACACCTTGAGTGCAAGAACATTTAGACAATAGCATTAAGCTTCAAAATCTTAGTTCTCTTACCCCAATCCCTCCAATTCCTCTTCAAAACATTTTATCAAACACTTTATATGCATTCTAAAAAAATAATATTCTAACTCCTCTAGCTTCACGCACCCCCTGATAAACCATGTCATCATTGAGAAAGAGGAATGGTGAAAATAAATAAGGAGCAATGATAGAAGAGAAGAATGGACGCTAACCATCGGAGGAGTTAGTTGAAGGTTAAAATATTTCCTTGCCTCTTTGCTATCGTGTTGGTCTAAGGAAGAAGAAACTGAGGGAGACATTAATCGAGAGAGAAGAGAAGATAGTAAACAATCATTGACATACTCACACCCGCAATAAGAAGAAGAATGAAGTAGGAGACGGATTGAGCATAATAAAATTTTTTTCCAGAAACTTTTCTTTCTCTCACTGCTCTGCACATCGATAGAAAAGGGGAGAACGGGAGGGAAGGGGAAAACCTGATAAGATTTAGTGTTTCAATTAGCTAAGGGCAATAGAGTATTTTCATCTTTTCTGTTAATGCAATCAGGTCCCTTTGGGACTTTTAATGCATTACTGAATTTGGTGGGACTTTTTTGTTGTATTTTGTGATGTATGGTGCAATTGTCCCTAAATAAAAAGAAA